CACAGAGATCCACCCCACTCTGCCTCTGGAATGCTGAGATTAAAGGCGGCATCACTGAGCCGGGCCACATCTTTCGAGACATGAGGTTGTGAGGGTTTCAAAGAGGATTAGAGGTGACCAAGTTTCTAGTGACAGCCACACTGTGGATGGGGCAGCTTCTGCAAGTTTCATGTACCAGGCATGAGGTACAAATCAACACCCATGAGAGGCTGGTGAGAGCCAAGGGGACTCCCACATTTCAAGTCGTTCCTCAGTGTGTTTAAGTAGCAGTCACAGTGACCGTCAGACACAACACAGGACCGCTCTGATAGGAGCTGCCCCTGAGGACCGTCAAGGGCATCGTAAGAGCCGAATGCTTACCCTGGAGACAAGACCTAGGACTGAAGCCATCCGTGACATCCCAGGGCATGAATGCTCACAGCATTGCCTGTCACTGATGGGGCTTGGATCTCAGGCACAGAGGTTGTCCTCATGTGACTGTGCTTCCTCTAGGTCTCAGTTTCTTCTTCTTTTTTTAATGGTTTTTATTGGAGAGAACCACCGTCAACCCAATTTGCAATTTAGGTGCTGCCTCCTGGCAAAATAGGCATTAAGTGGGCCAGAGGTGTTCCAGTCATTCCTGCCCTAGCTCCGAGTCTCCAAACCATCTTAAGCGAAGCAATGACTCCCAGGCAATTTCTCTACCTAGCACCCTCACCGGCAGCTTCTCCAAACATCCCAACTAAGCAGGCACATCCCCGTTTCTCTTTTGCCTTCTCTTTGGGCACCGCACAAAGTGAGACATAGGACTGTGTGAGCTTACTGAAAAGCCTTGAAGCACCTGTACTGATGCTCGGGAAGGAGACGCCTGCCCTCTGGTGGGCACCGTGGGCACTGCTGCTACTTTAGAGCCGGTGTGGCTGTGTGATCTCCAGATGTGTGGTGGGATTCCTCACGGAGCAGAGTCAACGCCAGCCACCAAGCCGAACTTTGCTACCTGACTTAGAAGTCTGTTTATAAGGAGATTTTGGCATGTCTTTGGAGACCTACTAGGCTGCTTTCTAATTTATTTGGGACAGGGTCTCCTCACACAGTTCAAGTTGGCTGAGGGTGACCTTGAACTCCGGAGCCTCTTGTCTGCACAGTGCTGGGATTACACACCCTCACCGCTGCAACCCAGTTTATTCCGTGCTGGGGGCCACACTCAGGGCTTCATGCTGGGCAGCCACTCTACAGCCCCAGCCCCGGGCAGCCCACAGGCTGGCGTCTAAAGAGCATGTTCTTCGTCTTGCGTGTTTTTAAAAAAAAAGTTTATTTTTATTTTATGTGAGAGTGTTTTGCCTGCACGTATGTCTGTGTACCACGTGTGTGCAGTGTCCTTGGGGACAAGAAGAGGGCGTGAGAGCCCCTGGAACTGGGGTTGCTAACAGTTGTGAGCTGCCACGTGGGTGCTGGGAACGGAACACCGGGCCCTCTGCATAAGCAGCTGGTGCTCTAACCACTGAGCAACCTCTCTAACCTCTCTAGCATTGTCTGTCCTTACACTAAGAAACATTAAATTGCCGCGAAGGGCACAAAGGAGTCCCCATTGTGGATACTTCTTTAAAGCTGCAATTATTTGTGTGTGTGTGTATGTGTGTGCACGCGCACGCACATTCACATGTGTCATGGTGTGCACATGGTTATTTGTGTGTGTGTACGCACATTCACGTGTGCCATGGTGGACACATGGTGCTCAGAGAACAATTTGCAGAATAGCTTTGGTTCTCTTCTGGGGATTGAACTTAAGCCATTAGGCTTGGCAGCAAGCGCCTTTATCTTCTGAACCATATTGCTGGCCCCATGATGACTACTTTAAACATCAGGTCAGGAGTTAGGAAAGTCACACTTTTGCATAACCGTCATGCCCACTCTGAAACTCTTCATAGTGAAACACTGCTTAGTGGCATTTAAATGTTCTCACTAAACACCATCGTGCCAAGCTCGCTGGCTCGGCTGCCCAGTTCTCCTGTCCCTCTCCAGGATGCTGACCCCTCCTGGGGAACTCCCACCATACCACTGGGCAGAGCTCAATGTTCACCTAGGGTGGAACACACATACTTCCTATTTAGGTATGCATAGTGGTCCGTTGCACGCACGGACCTCTCTCCGTTTTTCTCTTCACCCACTTATGGAGTTTGGCTTCCAACTTTGGCTGCTAGGAAACGGTTTGAATGAGGCTGTGCAAATCTCTCTCAGGAACCCCAGCTCGAGTTCATTTGGGGAGGGGCCCAGCTGCTGAGCCGCATGGGAATTTCACTTGAGATGTTCTAGAGTGTTCTGAAGTGCTCTGAGGAACTGCTCACTGTCTTCACAAGACAGAGCCTAGTCCATCTGTCCATCTCTACCCCCAGAGCACAGGACGCCGGGTCCTCCAAATCCTCTCTACAGATAACACGTTGTGTGTGTGCTTCTGTGTGTGTGTGAGTGCAGAGGTCAAAGGTCCACACTGAGTGCCTTACTCAACCTCAGATTTTCTGGAGAGGTCTTTTACCGACCCAGGACCCACTGATTCAGCTTTGTTGGATCCAGTTGTCTCTGGTTCGCAGCACTGGGACTACAGATTCGAGCTGCCAAACCTTGCCGGCCACCTGGGTACCCAGAGCCAAGGTCCCTTTGCTTGTGCAGCAAACGTTTTACCTACTGAGCCGTTGCTCCTGTCCCTGTCACTCAAGAAGATGTTAAAGTTTTCTGTGGGGGGGGGAGAGTCTGTCTGCGTGTGCCACACCGCCATGTGGGAAGTTTAAAGACAACATGTCAGAGGTTGGTATTCTTCTACAATGTGAGTCCTGGGGACTGAGCTCAGTTCACCAGGCTTGGTGGCAAGTAACTTTACCCACGGAGTCATCTCTCTGGCCCAACTAGAACTTAAAAGCAAAACCAAGCCTTTAACCCCAGTACTCGAGAGGCAGAGGCAGGTGGATCTCTATCTCAAAAATGAAAAAACAAACAAAAAATTTAAGCTATATGTATGTGTGTGGGGGGGGGCGTTTTACACGCAGTGCAGTACCTGAAGACACGACATGTGTGCTGGGAACCCAATTCAGATCCCCTGCAAGGCTGCTAAGCCATCTCTCCAGCCCCCAAGAACATTGGAAAGACCATTGCTAGCGGGCTTTCTGGAGGTGTGACCCCAGTTACTCGGGAGACTCAGGACTGAGAATTCAAGGTCTGCCTGGGTCACGCAGAGTGTAGCCTGGACAACTTTCTCAAGATAGAAAGTATGAGGACGGCTGAGGTGTACCTGGTGGTAGAACCCAGCCCAGCGTGCCTGAGGCCCTGGGCTTAATCTCTAGCACAACAAAGATGAAACCAGACCGCCATTTGAATAGAACAAAGACAGTTTCTAAAAACCATTTCATTTTATTGAATTATGCAAAAATCTTTACAACAGCCAAAAGTATGCAAATAGAAAAATCGCGTCACAGCATACAGCAGGCTGCAGAGTGTAAGGCCTGTTGCATGTCACCCATTCATGTCACAAATTTATTTGCGGCGGGGAGGGAACCAAACGGCCCAACTGTGAGGGACCACCCCTATGACCACACCACAAGAGCTTCCCTCACACGTGCGATGCTCTGAACAGATCAACATTTTAAGATTTTGAACTTGGGGCTTATGGGTGATTCAGAGACATGGCGGTGTAGGGGTTCACAGCCTAAGGGTACTATGGGGAGTTAGGGACCGGTTCCTGCAGACATGGCAGTATAGGGGTCCACAGCTTAAGTGTACTAGGGGGCGTTAGGTACCGGCTCTGCAGACAGATCCTGGCTAATCTCAGCTGCCCAGAGTGAGGGCTGGAGAAAGACATTCTCCCTAACTAGTTAGAGTTTTACAGGAAGTTCAAATTCTTCACAAATGCACATTTCATTATCAGATTTCTTCTCAAAGCCAAATCACATAAAATGTAAATAAAATACTTTTAACAAAAGAATCATAAAACAAGATACTAAGAAATTATATAGATACATGTTTTTTGAGAGAGAATCTCATGGCGGCCAGGCTGGCCTGGAGTTTGAGATGTAGCTGAGGATGACCTCGAACTCCCAATGCTCTGGCCTCTGCCTTCCGAGTGCCGGGAGGACAGGTGTGCATCGCCATGCCTGGCTAAGAATAAAAATAATGCTAGTAACAATGCCAGGGAAATTTCATAGCTGGCAAGGAATGCAATTAAAAGAGAACACAGGCCAGGCCTGGTGGCAAAGGCCAGTCATTCTGGCCACTTGGAAGACCGAGGCAGGAGGATGGACAGTTCAACGTATGGCTGGGCTACTGAATGTGTTCTAGTACAGCCAGGCCAACTTAATATAAAAAAGTGGGGTGGGCTGGGGGATGGCTTGGTGGTGGGGTACTTGCCTCGCTTGTACCAGGCCCTGGGTTCAACCCTCAGGTCTACAAAAGTAGGGGGACAAAAATCTAAAGGGGAGACTTGCTCTGTGCCAAAGTAAGATCTATTATATATATTATATATTTTTTCTCTTCAAATGGGCTGCTTATTGCTTTCTGCTTTTCCATCTTTTTATAGCATTAAGATCTTTGGGTTGGATTCAAAATTCATTAAAAGCATCTTGGTTGCTTTAAACACAGAAAGAAAATTCATTGGCATAAAAACGGTATACAATTCATCCTTAGTGTTTGAAAATCAGAAATATTGTAGACACAACAACTCAAAAGATGCCCTGTTCTGACCACCGAGGCGCTAGCTGGGCTGAGCTCCTATGAAATAAGGACTTCCTAAAACCTGTCCCTGGCTCACGGTGGCCGCCCAGCCAGTGCTTAGAGAGTGAGGCCCTCCGGGGCTGAGGTGTGCCCTCACTCCAAGCTCTGAGTCTACGCTGCAGGAAAAAGTCGTAGCTTTTTTGTTTTTTTCTTCAAACATTTCTACATACTACATCAAACTCTGGGAACACGGCTGTCACCATGGTGACCTTGTTTCTAACTTGTTTCTTCCCTAGAGGCCACAGAGCAGAGCGGCCAGCCTGTCACTTATCCATCATGTTAAAGATCATCTCGCAGGTCAGGCCATCATCCAGGTTCTCACTGCTAGCCGGCTTCCCAGGGCACTTCCCGGTATCGCTCGCCTGAGTAGCAATACCTAGAAGAAAACGTGCAGAGTGAGGGGGGGGGAGAGAGAGAGAGAGAGAGAGAGAGAGAGAGAGAGAGAGAGAGAGAGAGAGAGAGAGAGAGAGAGAGGGAGAGAGAGAGAGACAGAGGAGAGAGAGAGACAGAGGAGAGAGAGAGGAGAGAGGAGAGAGAGAGAGAGAGAGAGAGAGAGAGAGAGAGAGAGGAGAGAGAGAGAGGAGAGAGGAGAGAGACAGAGGGGAGAGAGAGGGAGAGAGAGAGAGAGAGAGAGAGAGAGAGAGAGAGAGAGAGAGAGAGAGAGAGAGAGAGAGAGAGAGAGAGAGAGAGAGAGAGCGCCTCGGCATCCAGACAGGGAAACCAGAAAGTGTATATTGAAACAATGGCCTTAGTGTGACCCCAGCAGCAGGCATGCCGAAGGACAATCTGACTCTGGAACACTGGCTGTCAGTTTACTTCAAGGCGGGACCGCTTAACCTGGGCTAAGGGACTGCCTGCTTTAAGGGGACACCTCAGGCACTATAGGAGGCAAGCAGCTTCTCACCTATGACACGCCTGTGGCACACTCCCCTTCAGCTGTGGCAATCAAAAATGTCACTAGACACGACCGACCGGGGCGTAGCTCAGCAGGGAAGTGCTTGCTACCAGGCCTGATGCTCTGCTCTGAGTTTGGGGGGGGTTGAGTGTGGGTGACCTTGCAGAGGTTGCTAAGCCCCTCCCCCCGCCCAGTGACAAGGCTACCACTGCCCTCACCCTCACTGGCTTTCTGGTTGGGGTCATCCATGGGGAAACCGCTGTCCGATCACAACAAAGCAGCCAGGAAGGACGTACCGTTGTCCCATCCTGGTCCTTCCTCCATGGCCTGCTCCGTAGAGCTTCCTTTTCTGGCGGCGGCCAACTGCTCCGGGTCACACTTCTTCCTGTGTCTCTGCAGGTTACTCTGTGGGGAGACAACACAGGCCACTAGTGAACATCGGTGTCCCCATGTGCATTTATGCAGCCCTTGGATTCTGAGATGACTCCACAGGGAGAGAGAGGCGCTTGTCACCCAGCTGAGTGGCCTGAGTTGGGGCCTGCAGACCCACGTGGTGGGTGGAGAGAACGGACTCTTGTAAGTTGTGCTCTGAGCTCTCTGCCTGTGTGGCTGCGGTACACGCTGCACCCTCGACAACTGCATGTATCTTTTTAAAAGGTGGGCCTCGGGCTGGAGAGATGGCCCAGTGGTTAAGAGCACTGACTGCTCTTCCAGAGGACCAGGGTTCAGTTCCCAGCACCCACATGGCAGCTCACAGCTGTCTGTAACTCCAAGATCTTACAGCCTCACAGACATACACACAGGCAAAGCACCAATGCAAATAAAATAAAAATAACTACATTTAAAAAAAAGTTGGAGCCGGGCGGTGGTGCCGCATGCCTTTAATCCCAGCACTCGGGAGGCAGAGGCAGGCAGATCTCTGTGAGTTCGAGGCTGGGCTGGACCGACAGCCTCCAAAACAATACAGAGAAATCCTGTCTGGTAAAAACAAAAAAACAAACAAACAAACAAAAAAAGGTGGGCTTCAGGAAGACAGCAGATTATATGTACCTTTTAGATTTTGGGAAAACAAACCAAAATAACCTTAAAAATTGTGCATGTATATGTGTATGTGTATGTGTGTGTATATGTGTGTGTGTGTGTGTGGGTGTGTGTGTGGGTGTGTGGGTGAAGGTGTCTCTGGAGGCCAGAAGGGGGCGTCAGTCCCCTGGAGCTGCAGTTGCAGATGGCTGTGAACCATCTGATGTGGGAGCCGGGAACCAAAGTCAGGTCCTCTACAAGGGTAACGCATAACGCATGTGCCTCGCTGTTGAGCTGCCTCTCTGGGTCCCCCAAATGACCTTTGAAAGGTTACCCTCCCTCTTACAATTAGGTCTAGCCAAAACCTAGCTTTTTTTTTTTTTGAGGTGGGGGCGGTTTCGAGACAGGGTTTCTCTGTGGCTTTGGAGGCTGTCCTGGAATTCGCTCTTGTAGACCAGGCTGGTCTTGAACTCACAGAGATCCACCTGCCTCTGCCTCCCGAGTGCTGGGATTAAAGGCATGCGCCATCAACACCCGGCTCCAAAACTTCTAGTTTGTTTTAGTTTTTAAAATAAGAGCTGTCAGAGAGAGTTTATCTTTAAAAAATACTTCTACCCTGTAAAGTGAGGCCTGACACCAAACCAGAAACTCAGTGTGCCATCCATCTCTATGCCCACCGTTCTATTGCTGTGAAAAAATAACATGGCCAAAGGCAACTTGGGGAGGGGGAGGGTTGACACCACCTGGCTGCCTTCCTGAGCTCAGGACATAGACAGCTGAGTCTGCACCACATCAGAGCTCAGAGACGCCGGCTGCGTGTGGTGGATTCGTGTCTGCGATCTCAGCCCAGGGAAGGAAGCTGAGGGAAGCCGTAGCTAAGACAGTCAGGTAAAAAGACAGAACCCATCGTGGCTGGGTGTGCTGGCTAGTCCCCTTTGGGTGCTGGCGCACACTTCTTACCGGGAGACTCCCCTGCCAGGCAGCTTTCAGTTCGTGTGTCCCTTTGTATGACACAGAACACAATTTGGGGCTCATCTAGGACTTTAAGTCTACGTGACCGGGTACTTTTGGTGGCTGGGTCACCCTGGAGGTTGCGTTAAGAGAGTGAGTGAGACACGAAGCTGACCTACAGTGAATGTGGAGTCTGGATCCACGTGTCACATGTGCCCCTGGTGACTTCTGACTGCCCCATGGGGGGGGGTCGGCTGAAGATGGAGGAAGTCAAAAGCAGAACGCAGGAAGCCTCCGTTACCAGAGGCTGAGATTCAAGAAACCTCTGTATGTGGGGTTGAAACTCTGACAGATTGACTCTCGTGAATCCAGGCTAGGAAACAAGTTGGCTAAGTAAGGCTCAAAGGAAGCCGACCGTGGGTAACCAGCTGGCGGGCCCATTGGCCTCCGCTAGTTTAATATTCTCAGATCCATCTGATTCAGCCCACGCCAAGGTCACCCTTCCTTTCCCAGTTCCTCCCTGTGCTCCCAAATAAACAGAGCCACCTATGGGCGCCGGGGCACACTTCCCGTTCCCTCCGCTTCATCATGGGCTCCTTTCCCAGCACGAGCTGACAGGAGACCAGAACACATATGGACACCAATTCTTGCTGTGCGAACATGGGATGTTTTCCTCTGTTTAACTGTTCTGGCTTTTTTGATTGCTTTAAGGGTCCACATGCCCGGGCCACGCACATGTACTGGCTCTCCTATACCCACGCTGACCTGACTTGGTACCTGTCTTAGGGTTTCTATCGATATGACAAATAACACGACCAAAAGCAGCTTGGGGAGGGGAGGGTTGACTCCAGCCTACATATGTCAGGTCAGACTCTGTCCCTGAGAGAAGTCAGCGCAGGAAGTCAAGGCAGGGACCACCTGTTCAGCCCTCCCACATCAGTCAGGAAGAAAATGTTGTCTATAGGCCATCAGACAGAGGCATTTTCTCAATGGCAGTTTATCTTCCTAGATAACTCTAGCTTGTCAAGCTGACAAGCAAAACAACATAACACCCAGTGCCTTTTCTCCTCCCTCCCTCCTTCTCTCTCTCTCTTGTCTCTCTCTCTCCCCCTCTCCCTCTCTCTTCTCTCTCTCCCTCTCTCTCTCTCTCTCCCCTCTCTCTCTCTCCTCCCTCTCCCCCTCTCTCTCTCTCCCCCCTCTCCCTCTCTCTTCTCTCTCTCTATCCCTCTCTCTCCCTCCCTCCCTCTCTCTCTGTCTCTGTCTCTCTCTGTCTCTCTCTGTCTCTGTCTCTCTGTCTCTGTCTCTCTCTGTCTCTGTCTCTGTCTCTCTCTCCTTTTCTTTCTTTCCCCTTGACTTGGATCTCACGGGGACTTGTGCTCAGATGAGGGATGGGCTAATGCTATCATGGAGCTGAGCTCACCAGAAGTGAAAAAATAAGTATGTTTCTTTGTCACCATCTTGGCTGGTGACCTCATCAAGATAGAGACAGTCATGTGACTTGGCCACCATCTTAGACGACATCAAGATCGTGATGACCCTGTGACCGCAACACCTCAAGGCATGAGACAAAACAAAATAAAAAAAAAACCCAGCAGCATCCATAAACCTTCCTGGATCTGCTGAGCACTAGGGGGAGCCCTGCATCCCTAGGAGACTCCCTGCATCCCTAGGAGACTCCCTGCATCCCTAGGGCTCCCTGCATCCCTAGGAGACTCCCTGCATCCCTAGGAGACTCCCTGCATCCCTAGGAGACTCCCTGCATCCCTAGGGCTCCCTGCATCCCTAGGAGACTCCCTGCATCCCTAGGACTCCCTGCATCCCTAGGAGACTCCCTGCATCCCTAGGACTCCCTGCATCCCTAGGACTCCCTGCATCCCTAGGAGACTCCCTGCATCCCTAGGACTCCCTGCATCCCTAGGACTCCCTGCATCCCTAGGAGACTCCCTGCATCCCTAGGACTCCCTGCATCCCTAGGAGACTCCCTGCATCCCTAGGACTCCCTGCATCCCTAGGAGACTCCCTGCAGCACAGGACTCCCTGCATCCCTAGGAGACTCCCTGCATCCCTAGGACTCCCTGCATCCCTAGGACTCCCTGCATCCCTAGGACTCCCTGCATCCCTAGGACTCCCTGCATCCCTAGGAGACTCCCTGCAGCACAGGAATCCAGTCCCACATCCCAGTCCCCCCACTCTTCGGTTTTTTCCTTAGATGCCTCATGGGACCCTGGAAACGCCGACTGAGAGACTTACCATCACATAGATGGAGCAACCCGAAAAAAGGAAGGCTGGAGGGACCAGAGGTTCCTCTCAAGCCACATGACCCCTGAAGGCCAAAGAAATCCTCAGTGGGACTTAAAGAGAAAGTGATTAATTCTGGCCACCTTCACGGTCTTAACCACCCATCAGAAGAGTACAGCGGTATAACAGAGACTAAAATGATCTTAGGCGCCCATCAGAAGAGCACAGCGGTATAACAGAGACTAAAATGATCTTAGGCGCCCATCAGAAGAGCACAGCGGTATAACAGAGACTAAAATGATCTTAGCCGCCCATCAGAAGAGTACAGCGGTATAACAGAGACTAAAATGTGCTGCCTCACCACTCCAATAATCCCACTTCCCAGGCATCAGGCTCCAATCCAGAGGTGATGCGGTTTAGAAGACTGTTTCTCACAATGACTTTCTTCTTGATAAGACATGCTGCCCAGCTGTCACACTTGGGACATCGCAAGAGAGACAGGTCCACGGTTGTTTTAACCTAAACTTAATGCCGGCTAGATTTCTTTTCTCTCCTCATGTAGGTGGGACCTCACATTGATACTGGCCGTTCCGATAGCCGTCGAAGAGTCTGAAAGCGGACTCTTGAGAGCAGTCCCTAGGCCAAAGGAGAACGAGAAGGGGCCCAGGAGATGAGAAGCAATGCTAGACTTTTAATAATTGTCTTCTGTCCCGACTTCTGCTACGTGTAATGCCGATGACTTTTGTCCTCATCTGATGACTAATGTTCCTCATCTGATGACTAATGTCCCTCATCTCTTTCCAGGTGCCAGTCAGGATGCCCTTTTCTCACAAGCGGATGCCCCACAAACAAAACTACTGATGGACTTTGCGGTCTTTTAGATAGGTCCACTGAAGAGATAACCCTACATGCATCATGGGATTGGGGCAACAATCACGCTGGCTCCTTCTAGCTGGACGGGGTCTTTGTGTGTGGCACTTAGGGTACATCTCCCACCAACCTCTGTCAGGAATGAAAGACAGAGGCCATCCTGGCTGAGAGTACTCCCTAGCCCTGTTTGGGTTCTGGGATACCCTTTCTATAAAATGACATCACCTTGCCAGGTTACTTCAGCCTTGTCCCTGTGTCCTTTGGAGGACACCGAGGTCATTCTTTCCCCAACATCCGTTCATAAGTGGTCCATCTACGTCTGCTGTCGAGCTGCGGCAGAGGCTGTCTGAGAAGCTGGGAGTATTTATTCTCTTTACAAAGATAACGTGCTGGCCCTGGTTTTGTGTGGTTGTGTATAAGATAACGCTTGTTTTCAGTCGTGGCGACAGTGTGGTCGGGAGCCCTCTGAGCATCCGAGACAAGCCATGGGCTGCTCCCCCAGCAGGGTAGGGAGCAGCGACTCACGTGCCTGGTGCATAGGCAGAGTTAACGCACACGAACGCAGACAGACGCGTCAGCCTTTTAAAAGCAGCCAAGGACGCTAAGTGAGACCTAGTTAGACTCTTCTGGACACAGAGGCAGTGGCATGTGACAAATCCCTGAGCCCAGAGAGGAGAGAAGGAGCAGCAGAAATGTCACCTGGGTCAGGGTCAGGGTCATGACAGGAAGGGGAGTCCTGCTGCTGGCTGGTGACGTTCAGATCCGGAGGCAAACCAATGTGTGCACCAGCGAGCAGAAATTTGTGAATACGTTTAGATGTAAGCGTGGGACAAATCAGGGTGGACACGCCTGCTGTGTCCCAGTCTCTTTCCTGCCTCCCACCAGGGAGCAAACCCGAGGGTCAGTAACAGGCTCCTAGAGCCAGGCTCCTGAGAGGTGAGGATCCCAGACCAGCCTCACCCCTGCTGGGACTCCCTGCTGCCACAGAGACAGACGCCGTACAGACAGCCTGACACCAAAGGCCGCCAGTGGGTGAGGACATCTCAGTTAGACGCCCACCCATACATTAGAGAAACCTGGCCCCAGGCTCCCTTCATCCGAGATCTGTAGGAAGGGACCCCACTGTCTTATCAGAGCCCCGCCACGCTGTCCATCCGTCTGTCCATGGTGTCAATAACTCTTCTAATAATCCACAGGTCAGTCTGCTCCTGTGTCACCCTGAGATCCGCACCCGAGACCTTTCTCTTAATCTTCTAAAAGGTAAGTTGGATCCAAGTATCTAGCTGCACTTTCATGTTTTAATAACCAGAACCACCAGGCCACACTGCATCCACCGTGATGTGACACACGTTAGTTAAGCCCTGGCATTTTGAGGTAATTTGTTCTGCAGAAATAGAAAGTGAATACACCAGCTGACAGAACAGAAGATGAAGGGGAATCCACTCGCTGCCTGATTTCACACCTTGGAAACGCCTGGGAATGGAAATCACTCTGTGAAGACTCGGGCATTTAGTTCACAGGGCGACTGTCAAGTCTCACACTTTAAAAACCAGGTTCCACCCAGTGTGTGGCACACGAACCTTTAATCCAAGCAGAGGCAGAGGCAGAGGCAGGTGGGTCTCTATGAGGCCAGCCTGGTCTACATACTGAGTTCCAGGCTAGCCAGAGTTACATTCATAGTGAGACCCTGTCTCAAAAATGAAAACAAACAAACAAACAAAAAAACTAGGTCTCTCAGGAGTGACAGAGTTCCCCAAACTGTTTTCCAACTGTGTGCAAACAATCTGCCGCAGAGCTGGTGGAACACAGTAGTTTCATCAAAATGAAAGGGGTTAAAAACCGAAATGACACTAACAATAACCACAGGTCAAGTTCACACCCACCCACGAACATGACGGACAGACTGTGAGTCTAGCCTGGTAATCTAGGCTGCCCCACCCACTCAGGAGACTCAACCAGGAAGAGTACAAGTTCAAGGCCAGGATGGACGCTAGAGCTAGAACTGGTCTCAGAGTAAAAAATAAATGAAGGCCCAGTGGTGTGCTTACCCGGCACACACCTGTCCCGGAGCGCACCTGTCCCGGAGCACGCCTGTCCCGGAGCACGCCTGTCCCGGCTCACACCTGTCCCGGAGTACACCTGTCCCGGATCACACCTGTCCCGGAGCACGCCTGTTCCGGAGCACACCTGTCCCTGAGCACACCTGTCCCGGAGCACACCTGTCCCGGGACCCACCTGGCCCGGCGCACACCTGTCCCGGAGCACACCTGGCACGGAGCACACCTGGCCCGGCTCACACCTGTCCCGGAGTACACCTGTCCCGGATCACACCTGTCCCGGAGCACACCTGTCCCTGAGCACACCTGGCCCGGAGCACACCTGTCCCGGAGCACACCTGTCCCTGAGCACACCTGTCCCTGAGCACACCTGGCCCGGAGCACACCTGGCACGGAGCACACCTGGCCCGGCTCACACCTGTCCCGGAGCACACTTGACCCGGAGCACACCTGGCCCGGAGCACACCTGGCCCGGAGCACACCTGGCCCCTGAGCACACCTGTCCCGGATCACACCTGTCCCGGAGCACACCTGGCCCGGAGCACGCCTGTCCCGGAGCACACCTGTCCTGGAGCACACCTGGCCCAGAGCACACCTGGCCCGGAGCACACCTGTCTCGGAGCACACCTGGCCTGGAGCACCCCTGGCCGGGTGCACACCTGGCCCGGAGCACACCTGTCCCGGAGCACGCCTGTCCCTGAGCACGCCTGTCCCTGAGCACGCCTGTCCCTGAGCACGCCTGGCCCGGAGCACACCTGTCCCGGAGCACACCTGTCCCGGAGCACACCTGGCCCGGCTCACACCTGTCCCGGAACACACCTGTCCCGGCTCACGCCTGTCCTGGAGCACACCTGGCCCGGAGCACACCTGGCCAGGAGCACACCTGTCTCGGAGCACACCTGGCCTGGAGCACCCCTGGCCGGGTGCACACCTGGCCCGGAGCACACCTGTCCCGGAGCACGCCTGTCCCTGAGCACGCCTGTCCCTGAGCACGCCTGTCCCGGAGCACGCCTGGCCCGGAGCACACCTGTCCCGGATCACACCTGTCCCGGAGCACACCTGTCCTGGAGCACACCTGTCCCGGCTCACGCCTGTCCTGGAGCACACCTGGCCCGGAGCACACTTGACCTGGAGCACACCTGGCCCGGAGCACACCTGTCTCGGAGCACGCCTGTCCCGGAGCGCGCCTGTCCCTGAGCACGCCTGGCCCGGAGCACGCCTGGCCTGGAGCACGCCTGGCCCGGCTCACACCTGTCCCGGAACACACCTGTCCCGGCTCACACCTGTCCTGGAGCACACCTGGCCCGGAGCACACCTGTCCGGGTGCACACCTGTCCCGGAGCACACTTGACCCGGAGCACACCTGGCCTGGAGCACACCTGGCCCAGAGCACACCTGGCCCGGAGCACACCTGTCTCGGAGCACACCTGGCCTGGAGCACCCCTGGCCGGGTGCACACCTGGCCCGGAGCACACCTGTCCCGGAGCACGCCTGTCCCTGAGCACGCCTGTCCCTGAGCACGCCTGGCCCGGAGCACGCCTGTCCCGGAGCACACCTGGCCCGGCTCACACCTGTTCCGGAACACACCTGTCCCGGCTCACGCCTGTCCTGGAGCACACCTGGCCCGGAGCACACCTGGCCAGGAGCACACCTGTCTCGGAGCACACCTGGCCTGGAGCACCCCTGGCCGGGTGCACACCTGGCCCGGAGCACACCTGTCCCGGAGCACGCCTGTCCCTGAGCACGCCTGTCCCTGAGCACGCCTGTCCCGGAGCACGCCTGGCCCGGAGCACACCTGTCCCGGATCACACCTGTCCCGGAGCACACCTGTCCCGGCTCACGCCTGTCCTGGAGCACACCTGTCCGGGTGCACACCTGGCCCGGAGCACACTTGACCTGGAGCACACCTGGCCCGGAGCACACCTGTCTCGGAGCACGCCTGTCCCGGAGCGCGCCTGTCCCTGAGCACGCCTGGCCCGGAGCACGCCTGGCCTGGAGCACGCCTGGCCCGGCTCACACCTGTCCCGGAACACACCTGTCCCGGCTCACACCTGTCCTGGAGCACACCTGGCCCGGAGCACACCTGGCCCGGAGCACACCTGTCCGGGTGCACACCTGTCCCGAAGCACACTTGACCTGGAGCACACCTGGCCCGGAGCACACCTGGCCCGGAGCACACCTGTCTCGGAGCACACCTGGCCTGGAGCACACCTGGCCGGGTGCACACCTGGCCCACGTTCCAGCCCCCAAAGGCTGTGTGCCCAGGGTTCCCTGTTGAGGTCACTGTTTGAAGTGCTGACGGCCCTTGAAACAGAGGGGTGCTTACCCAGCGGGAAAAGCCTTTGCCACACTTGAGGCATAGGTGCTCATCGGGGACAAAGCTCGGATCGTGGAACTTCCTCAGGTGCACAGTGAGCAGCTGCTTCTGCCGGAAGTGTTTGTCGCAGGCGAGGCAGGAGAACGGCTTCTCTCCCGTGTGGATGCGCATGTGCGCCTTCAAGCACCGCTCCTGCGGGGGCGGGGAAGCAGGGACACGGCTGACACGGGGCGGAGGCGTTCCTCAGAACTGTCCATCATTAGTCTGCTTTCCACCCAAGGGCGGTGTGGCCCTCATCAGCGCCAGGGCCGCCTGTGTGCTAGGGATCGGGGTCATCCTTGGCTACGTGTGAGCTCTAAGCCAGCCTGGGTTACGAGAGACCGGCCCCCAAACCAAAGAAAACCAAGCAAAGATTCTCTGTGGCCCCCACGGTGAAGAGAAGATGATAATTATGGGCGAAAGTGGGGTTACTGGGGGTTAGAGGTGTCATCCCCTGGAGCTAGAGTTATGGGCAGTTGTGTGGCTGGAGTTATGCAGGTGTCGGGAATCAAATTCTATGAGAGCATCGAGCACCCTTGACGACTGATCATCTCTCCAGCCGGAATCCAGCCTACACGCTAAAAGACGGGGAATGTGAAATCCCGCCTCTGGTGTCCACTAAGACAGTCACTGAGCACCACGGCACACTCAGATCACCACACGCGCCCAAAGTGCTTTTGTGTTGTGGAGGAGACACAGCCGTATTCACTATGGGAAACAGGAAGCGAGGAACTGACAGACATTTTGAAAAGTTAAATGAAAATCAGTCCATTAAAAAAATAACACTACAGGCTGCAGGGGTGAGGGTGGGGGTAGGGTGGGGTGGCACATGCCTTTAATCCCAGCACTTGGGAGGCAGAGGCAGGCGGATCTCTGTGAGTTTGAGGCCAGCCTGGTCTATAGAGCGAATTCCAGGACAGCTTCCAAAGCCACAGAGAAACCCTGTCTCGAAAAACCAAAAAAACCAAACCAAAACAAAACAAAAAACCACCACCAACAACAAACAATAACACTACATCCTAATGTCACAGTGTGGGCCAGAGTGTTCAGGGCTCACACACAGGCAGAGCCGCTCACGGATGATCTGAGTTAGAGTTAACTCTCAGTTTCCTGCGGAGCCTGAAAGTTCTTTTCAGGGTTTCAGGAGAAGTCTGCCTCGGTTTCTCCGCGTCTGTGGGGACTTGTAAAGTGGGTTACTGCTTGGTGTGGGGCTGTGCGGGTGTGACGTCAGAGGACATCTTTGTGGAGTTGGTCCTCTCCTTCCCCTTCACATGGGTTCTGGGGAGGGAACTCGGCTCCCGGAGCTTTCTGGAAGCTTCGTGGCTGAGGGAGCACTCACCTGCTGAACCATCTCGTGGGCCCTTGGGCTGTTTGGGAGTGACAAGCCCTTTGTTTTAGCCTTTGGGCAGCCACAGGCAGGCTGGTCTCGCAGGGTGTCACCGCTGCGGTTAGGGCAAAGACACTCCGCTGCCGAGACATTGAATGTGCACACAGGGAGGAGGGGACCACTCGGGCATCGCCCCGATGATGGCGCGGGTGGGCCCCGAGTGTGGTGAGGTCTGTGCGCTCTGTCTGCAGCCGCAGCTGATGGCCTGTGGCTGCTCCGGCTACTCTGAGCAGCCTGTGGTGATGTCTGTGCGCTCTGGTCAACCCGAGTCCTCCTCCGCGGTTACCATGAGAGGAGGCCCCCGCGGTTACCATGGGAGGAGGCCCCTTTTCTTTCCTGCGTTGCTTTTTTGAGGCGGGGTCTCCTTATGTGGCCTTGGCTGTTCTGGAACTTGCTAGGTAAGCCAGAGTGACCTCACGCTCAGAGACCCACCTGCCTGTGTGCTGGGGGTAATGCCGTGCACCGCCACACCCAACCCCGTGTCTGTATGTGTGTAGGTGCGCGGGGCTCCAAAGGCACACTGGATCCTTGGAGCTGCAGTTACGGTAGCCGTCTGCTAGCAACATGGGCGCTGGGGTTGGAACTGTGGTCCTCATGACAGAACAGCATTCATTCTTAACTGCTGAGCCAGCTCTCCAGGCTCTCTCCCTCCCTCTCTCTGTCTCTCTGTCTCTCTGTCTCTCCCCCTCCTTCCCTCCCTCCCTCCCTCCCTCCCTCCCTCCCTCCCTCCCTCCCTCCCTCCCTCCCTCCCTCCCTCTCTCTCTCTCTCTCTCTCTCTCTCTCTCTCTCTCGATCCCCACCCCTCTCTAAAGTTTATGCTGCATGCGAGCGTTTCTCATGCTTGTATGTCATGCATCATACGTGTGCCTGGTCCCCAGGGAGGTGAGAAGAGGGTGTCAGATCCCTGGAGCTGGAGTTACCTATGGACAGCTGTGAAACACCGTGTGGGTTCTGGGAAGCGAACTCAGGTCCTCGACAAGAGCAACGACTGCTCCTAAGAGATGAGTCATCGCTCCAGCCCCCAGAACGACTGAGAACAACGCGGCACCCGCTTGCACACAGTCAGCCCCCACGCTGACTCACACACAGTACCCTCTTGCACACAGTCAGCCCCCACGCTGACTCACACACAGCACCCGCTTGCACACAGTCAGCCCCCACGCTGAGTCACGCGCGGTACCCGCTTGCACACAGTCAGCCCTTACACTGACTCACACACAGTACCCGCCTGGACAGTCAGCCCCCACGCTGACTCACTCGACTCACACACAGCACCCGCTTGCACACAGTCAGCCCCCACGCTGACTCACACACAGCACCCGCTTGCACACAGTCAGCCCTCACGCTGACTCACGCATGGTACCCGCTTGCACACAGTCAGCCCTCACGCTGACGCACTCGCGGTACCTGCTTGCACGCGTAGTCACACTGCTTGCACTTGAACTTCTTCTCGTCCTTGTGGGTCCTCTGGTGCTGGAGGAGGGCGTAGCGCTCATGGAAGCCGGCGGGGCAGTAGCGGCACTTGATCTCCTCGGGGCTGGGGCTGTGCAGGTTGCGCAGGTGGACGCCTGTCAGAGCCACGGGGCACTGTGAACGCCGGGGCTTCCCGGGCGGGCCGGCAGTTCTGGACACTGCGGACTCTCCTCCCACCTCACCCCTGCCACATTCACCGCCTCCCTCAGGGCTGATGACGGCCGGGCCGCCTCCACACCCGGGTGCGCGGCCCAGGGCACGGTAGTCCAACCTGAGACCACCGCAGGGACCTAACGGGGACCGTGGCTGTAGATCACCGTGAACACAAACAAACAACCGCGGCCGTAGATCACCGTGAACTCTAACAACCGCGGCCGTAGATCACCGTGAACTCTAACAACCACACTGTAGATCACCGTGAACTCTAACAACCACACTGTAGATCACCGTGAACTCTAACAACCACACTGTAGATCACCGTGAACTCTAACAACCGCGGCCGTAGATCACCGTGAACTCTAACAACCACACTGTAGATCACCGTGAACTCTAACAACCGCGGCCGTAGATCACCGTGAACTCTAACAACCACACTGTAGATCACTGTGAACTCTAACAACCACACTGTAGATCACCGTGAACTCTAACAACCGCGGCCGTAGATCACCGTGAACTCTAACAACCATGGCCGTAGATCACCGTGAACTCTAACAACCGTGGCCGTAGATCACCGTGAACTCTAACAACCACACTGTAGATCACCGTGAACTCTAACAACCACACTGTAGATCACCGTGAACTCTAACAACCGCGGCCGTAGATCACCGTGAACTCTAACAACCACACTGTAGATCACCGTGAACTCTAACAACCACACTGTAGATCACCATGAACTCTAACAACCGCGGCGGCACGGTGCAGGGCTGAGGCCTTTGTCCCCGCGGCGCACACTGGGCATGCTGCAGTCTAGGAAGCGCCGGCCTCAGCTGAGCCTCAGGCCCGCGGCCGACGCCCGTGTGCGGGGCGAGCGCCCTGGAATCGCCTGATTCTGGCGGACAGACCAGGCCGTCCTCACGGGGCACCAATGGCCAGTGTCCACTGCAGCCCCACCCCTGCCTCCACACTGACAGAATGTTCCAGATGAAAAGACCACAGGTAAGATTGGTCAGGCGCCTTCACCCCTGCAGGGGTGTTTCCAAAATCTCTGGCATTTCCCAAGGCAACTGGGAGGACTTTTATTTCTACTGACACTTTTACCCCTCCACACCCCACCCCTCCACACCCCACCCCTCCACACTCCACACCTCCACACCCCACCCCTCCACACTCCACCCTCCACACTCCTGCCCTCCACGCTCCACCCCTCCACACTCCACACTCCTGCCCTGCACAGCTCCCTGCTCCTGTGCTACAGGCTGTCTGCCCTCCTTGATGCACGACAGACTCCCAAGCCCATGCGGTCACCCCTGCAAGCCTCGTCCTGTCCTGGGGCGTCCGTCCTGTGTCACAAGCTGCCCTACTGAGCAAGTTCCTTAGGAGAGCCGTCTCGGCTGCTCCTCCGTACCATGGAGCCCCCAGCAGCGTGTGCGCAGGGCAGGCTGAGGAGGGGGCGTGCACACGGCTAAGTTTCTACCTCGGATGCTTCTGACACCCAGGCCACCGTGGCTTCTGTCCCCAGCAGGAAAACTATCGTGTGTCCTCCAGGCTCGGTGTCCTTATCCGCCAGAGCAAGGCCAGCGCCAGATAAGACTACACCTGTGGGTTTGCCCATGCAGGTAGGCGCAGGCACCGGCCTGCATGCACTTACTCGGATCGGCCACCAGAGGGCAGGGCAAGACCTCCGTAAAAGCATTTCTACAAAAGTTTCCCAAGCTCGGGGACACTTCCAGAGCCAGGGCAGGCTCCGCAGGCTTGCAGACCTTGGGAGTCCATGGGCCAGGCGTGTCCTGTGGCCAAGGGGACACCTGAAACCCGACACTCACGCAGGTCGCTCTTCCTCGCAATGATGGTAGCACAGTGGGGGCACTCGTGTCGGGGCACATTCTCCCCATGCTTCTGCGCCACGTGGATTTTCATGGTGCCACTCTGGGTGAACCGGGCGTGGCAGGTGGGGCACTCATAAGGTTTCTCACCTGTGATGGGGACAACAAGTGACTCACTCAGGGCCTGGCTTCCCCACAAGCCCCGCCCTTCCCAAAGGATGCCTGTGCCGGGGCTTTGCCTTTCTGCAGGTTCGGCTCCAACCGCAGGGACCAGGGGCTCTCACTGAGTGTGCACAGGGCTCTGAGTGTGCACAGGGCTCACGCTGAGTGTGCACGGGGCTCTCGCTGAGTGTGCACGGGCTCTCACTGAGTGTGCACAGGGCTCTGAGTGTGCACGGGGCTCTCGCTGGTGTGCACGGGGCTCTCACCTGAGTGTGCACGGGGCTCTCAGTGAGTGTGCACGGGGCTCTCACCTGAGTGTGCACGGGGCTCTGAGTGTGCACGGGGCTCTCACCGAGTGTGCACGGGGCTCTCACCGAGTGTGCACGGGGCTCTCGCTGGTGTGCACGGGGCTCTCACTGGTGTGCACGGGGCTCTCACTGGTGTGCACGGGGCTCTCACCTGAGTGTGCACGGGGCTCTCGCTGGTGTGCACGGGGCTCTCACCTGAGTGTGCACGGGGCTCTCAGTGAGTGTGCACGGGGCTCTCACTGAGTGTGCACAGGGATCTCACTGAGTGTGCACGGGGCTCTCACTGGTGTGCACGGGACTCTCACCTGAGTGGGTCCGCATATGACGCTTCAGCTTGTAGGTGTCTTTGCTGGCGTAGGTACACTGGCAGCACTGGAAGGGACGCTCGCCCGTGTGTGAGCGGATGTGTCGCTTCAGCTTGCTTGCCTAGGACACGTGGGAGAGGCTCATTGTGATGGGAACCTGAGGGTGGTCAGCGCTTCAGTTAACCAACTTCTTATGAGAGATCTGAGCAACCCCAGGAATCAGGAAACTGAGGCAGGAGGATTGCTGTAGTTCAAGGCCCACTAAGACTACATCAAGGAACCTTGTCTCAAACACCCCCCCTTCCAAAAAAGAAAACCCAGAAAGGAAAGAGGGGAGAAAAAAAGGAAAATCTAGGTGTGGTAGTACATGCCCTGCAAGTCCAACTCTGGGGAAACTGAGGCAGGAGGATTGCCTCAAGTTTGAGAACAGCCTGGGTCATACAGTGAGCCCAAAGCTAACCCGGACTACAGAGACTCTGTCTCAAAAGAGCAAAAGGAGAAGGTAAGTTAACCAAGTGTGCACACTCAGTATCAGGGCGTCCCCTAAGGAGAAGATGAGTTAACCGGGTGTGCACACTCAGTATCAGGGTGTCCCCTAAGGAGAAGATGAGTTAACTGAGTGTGCACACTCAGCATCAGGGTGTCCCCTGAAGCAGAGCTGTCAGGTCTGCGCATGAGCCTTCCTGTTGTAGCGGGCTGCATGCATGAGGTCCACTGGGGTTATCGAGCAGCTTTGAAGACTTTCGTACTGAGTTTCACTTCGCACACAGAAACAGAGCTGCTGCTCGGTGCTGTGTGTGTTTCTATCTCTATGTTCAAGCCCGTGTCCACTCGCAGTGGAAAAGTTTAAATCACCGAAAAGACACAAGCTGGGAAAGCTGAACCCCTGGATAAATGGAGAACCGCCTTCTGCTAACCAGAGTCAGAGACAGACAGAGACAGAGACAGAGACAGACAGAGACAGAGACAGCCCTGTTGCCTCAGTGTAGGGTTTGTCTGCTGCTGGCTTCTTTTAAAGGTGTTTTTGAGACAGAGACGCACTTTGTAGTCCAGACTGGCCTCCGACTCACAGTGATCCTGCTGCCTCAGCCTCCTGCATGCTGATCTTGCTATAATCACTTGGGAGGCAGAGGCAAGGGGATCTCTGTGCGTTTGCGGTCAGCCTGGTCTATATCGTGAGTTCCAGGACAGCTAAGGCCCCAAAGTTAGTGCTGAATCAACCAGTACCATGTTATGAGCCACCGTCTTGAACACAAACAAAATTAACACAGAGGGCAGTTCTAAGTGGAAGAAAATGGATTCTACTAGGTATGGAAGGCCAGTAAACGGAAAACGGCAAGAGACTCCTCATTCACCACAGCCGCCGGATTTACTGCCGCCCTCTCTCGCTGTAAACCCTCTTGCTGTTTCACGGGGAGCAGCGCCATCAGCCACGCCGGGCTGGAGGCTTGGGGCCCACATCAACGCTGCTCACACTCAGCAAGGGCACATGGACCTGCTTCCCTGCCATGCAGGAGGCACACCTAAGCCGGAAGGACATTCGAGAACAGAGGAGGGCTCGGAGCAAGACCCACGGGGAACGACTCAGCTTGGTTTTTTTTAAGAAGAATTATGGGGCTCTTCTCCCATGTGCCATAGGAAGGGAAGAAAGAAGAATGTCTAACATTGCAGGGTGGAGGACTCGGGGTTCAGCGGGGCAAATGGTCTAAGGTGGTAATACGGGGTGCTCCTGCCTGGCTCCTCAGGCTTGGCAGCTGCTCTACACTGAGCTACATCTCCAGCCCTCTTTTCACCTTTTATGTCGATACCGTGTTTCAGTTGTGCAGGCTGACTTGGAGCTCACACTATGACCCAGGAAGGCCTCGAACTTCCCTTCAAGGGGCTCAGCAGAATGCAAAAGCATCAGAAACGGGGTGTCTAATCCACTTTGCTTTCTCACATGTGAAGGGGTTGGGTAGGGTAGGGAGGTCCCAGCCCATTAGCCTATGTGAACTCTAGCCAGCAAGTACCATCAAAAGATGGCGGCATGGAGGACAGTGTCCCGTAGGTAATCCCTGGGCTGCATGGACGCTCTGCCCCGGGCAGGGTCTCAGAGCCTGTTAAGTTCTTGGGCGGAACTGAGGGACACCATAGCAAGTCCTTCCCACCAGGAGCCTCGGAGTAGCCCTGTCAGATACTTTCTGAACCCTCATGTTGCTGCCACAACCTTTGCCTCAGATAGGAAAGCTCTTTTTAAAAATAGCCACTGCCTAAAGAGGTTCTTGGAATCGAATTCTGGCCCATCTGTGAAATCCACCGATTTATGAAACACACTTGCATCACTGCCTGAGCGTTCTCTGTCCCCTTTAGCTTAGTTCCTGTTGGGAGCACCTGCTTAACCCTCCTCTGCCCAGATCTCCACCAGGATGCAGCCGCTCCCTCACATGGAATGGAACCTTGGGCATGGACGGCTAGGAAAATGGGCCTGTAAAGGGGACGCCGTATGCAGCCTTCATTTCACTGAAGGGCCGTCATCCCAGCTACTCCGGGAGCTGAGGTAGGAGGATTTCAAGTTCAAGGACTGCCTGAGCTGCAGAGTGAGTTCAAGGCCAGCATGGGCAACTTAGTGAGACCCTGTCTCAAATAAGAAGACATAGCTGAGGGCATAGGTCAGTGGTAGAGCAGTTGCCTAGCATGTTGGAAGCCCTGGGTCTAAATCACACACACACATACACACACTCACGCACACACGCACGCACGCATAACACTTGGTTGCCATGAGCAGAGCCAGCAGCTAACCACCATCGGAGTGTCTAGTGGTGCCGTGAGTGGGGACAGGGTTATGTCTTCAAGTTGCTGGCTTGTGGTGTTGGGGCACAGCTCAAAACTTCGGCCCAAATTCCCAAGTTCTGTGCTAGAGGAGACATTCTGGTTTGGTGACCCTGACGGTGACATAAAAATACCGGAAAGGCCTTTTCAACAAGTCTGAGTTCTCTCTCTCTCTCTCTCTCTCTCTCTCTCTCTCTCTCTCTCTCTCTCTCTCTCTCTCTCTCTCTCTCGTTTTCATTTTGTGCATTCGAGTGTTTTACCTGTATGTGTGTCTGTGTGCCACAGTTGTGTCTGGTGCCCAGAGGCTGGAGAGGGCGTCGGATCCTTTGGAACTGGAGTTACAGGAATCTGGCTGTGAGCCACCACGCGGGTGCCGGGAATCAAACCAGATCCTCCGCAAGGGCAGCCCATGCTCATAACTGCTGACCGTCTCTCCAGCCCCAGGGCTACTTCTTGACCATAACTGATATCTACAGTCTATCTACTTTTAAATGCTGTTGGGGGTAGGCTGAGGGATGGCTAAGAGCATGTATCGACCGCCCTTGCAGAGGACACAGGTCCTGTTCCCAGCACTGCTGTCGAATGGCTTCCCAACCACTGTAACTCCAGCTCCAGGGAATCCGTGTCTCTCTCGGTCTTCTCAGATGACCACGCCTCCCGCCTCAGTTTAAAAATAATAAAAACAAATGTGGGTGAATACTGTTTGGGGGGGTGAAACGGCGTGAAGCATAAAGGTGCTTGCGGACAAGCCTGACGGTCTGAGCTCAATCCTCCAAACAGAGAGGACAACTGTCTCCACCAAGTTGTCCTCTGACGGTCAGTTGTGGAGACCAGGCTGGCCTTGAACTCACTGCAATACTCTTGCCACAGTGCTGGGATTATAGGTGTGAGCCGCCACACCCAGTTCCAGTTTTCTATATTCAATTTGGATAATAATGCCTGTGGCCTCTGGCATAGGTTTTTAAAACATCTTTGGTGAGCAGCTGAGTGACAGGTTAGCGTCCCTCCCGGGGTGGGTGGCGATTTCTCACTGCTGGACAGGGTTAACTCTCACCTCAACGCTGGCATACTTGCAGATGGAACACTTGAAGGGCTTCTCATGGGTGTGTTTGTAACGCCTGTGCCGGACCAGTTCTCCACTGGTGACAAATGCCATGTCACAGTCCCCGCACTTGTAGGGCCTGGTTCCTGGGAAATCATGGGGTTCACACTTTTCAAACAAGACTTACCTGCCCACAAAACTTCCAGCAACTTTGTAGTTTTGAAATGGCAGCCTGAAAGCGTTCGGCAATTAAGAAGTTCTTTGCACTATAAATATCACAGATGTACGAGACATCGCTCTGGGTAACAGTCAGTGCTTTTAACTGAAATTCAAGAAGGCGGGTGGGGGGGGGACTAAGCCGGGAAACAGTGTGGTAGGCTTGTAACCCCAGCACTCAGAAGGCTCAGGCAGGGGGATCGGTGGTTAGAGACTAGCTTGAGCTACAAGTAAGACCCTATTCCAAAACAAAAAACCAAAACAAAACTGGGCAGGGGGAAGGCAAAACTAAGCGTAAATACTTGCACAATGGGAACCCCCCTTCTTGTTGTAGAGCAAGGGTGCGAATGGTCCCTGGAGACTTACGATAAGGTTTAACGAATAAATTACACACTAAAACCCACAATAAACAACAATAAGAGACTGACAGACCGATGAGCTGGGCTGGTGGCCCAAGTTCATCATCCTAGCTGCCCAGGGCCTGAGACAGGAGAATCACAAGTCCCAGGCTAGCCTGGGCAACTTAGACTTGCCTCAAAATGAAAAGGGCTGGGGATGTAGCCTAGTCGATGGAGAACTTTCCTAGCGCGCTTGAGTCCTCATTTTACAAAGAACGTGCAATGAAACTGAGTTTAGCAGAAGCCAAGGGAATGCTGACAAAACCCTTCAAACCGCACACCGAGAGGACAACTATTCAGTCGGTTGCTCCTTCTGCAATCCCCCTTTGTTTCTGCAGTGTTGGGGATGGAGCCCAGGGCCCCCCCCCACATGCTGGGAGAGCGCTCTCCACTGAGCTCCGCCCCAGCCTCTGTTTTCAAGGTTGGCAGTAGCAGAAACCTCAGTAAGGGAGAACTCACTGGGCTCCCTTGCACCCTCACCGAGACTGACGGTGGGTGCATCTGTGAAGGAGGGCCACCAGGGGGCGCCTCACCTGTATGAGTGTTGACATGGTTCCGAAGGAGGGTGACGGTGCGGAAAGCCTTCAGGCACAGGTGGCACAGGTGAGGTCTCTCGTCATTGTGGATTTTCACGTGGCGGGTGAAAGTTGAGAATTTGGAAGAAGTGAACGGGCAGGCGTCGCACTGGAAGGTTCGGGTTTTTCCTAAAGGGAGAAGACACAGTGACCCGTCTGGAAAGGCCTCCCTTGAGCAGTTCCAGCCAAACCCTGACAAGGTGGTGGCTCAATACCTCAGGGCCCCCCACTCTCTACGAAGAGCATCTTGTTAGGAGACAGGTGTCTGTCTAGGTCCCTAACCCATCTTCCACAATGGGAACCAGTAGGGTTCACAAACATCTGTAACTCCCATTCCAAAGGATCTAGTGCCCTCTTCTGGCCTCCACGGAGCATTGCACACAGGTGGTGCACAGAAACACATGCACACACACACACACATAAATTAAAAATAAATCAATCTTAGCTGGGCAGTGGTGGTTCACACCTTTAATCCAAGCACTCAGGGGGCAGAGGCAGGTGGATCTCTTTGAGTTCAAGACCAGCCTGGTCTACAGAGTGAGATCCAGGCCAGCCAGGGCTGTTACACAGAGAAATCCTGTCTCAAAAAGCAGTAACATGAAAACTAAAAAAAAAAAAAATCAATCTTATAGAAATATCACAACATTTAGAGTGTGGCGGAGACCAGAGAGGACAGAGCATGAAATGTCTGCTCAAAGCAGGGGGCCCCAGAAGCAAATCTCCCACAAACATGGACCCGAGTGCGTATGTTCTCTGCTGAGTGAAGTGAAGACATCCCACGTGGCTTCCCAGCATCCTCCACCCAAGCCAGGGAGCTCTGGCAAACTGGCATGAAGCTGAATGAAACCACAGCCAACGGCTACACGTGACTAAGTTTGTATCTAAAGTAACTAAAATGAAAACAAAGCGTGGTTTCTCAGTGGCAAGCCTCACTCTCGTGCCCACCAGCCACACGGGTGGTGGCTGCCGTACCAGATGCCGCCTTTTCCTGTACCTCAGATGTTCCACTTGGCAGAGGCAGGCCATGCGGACAAGTGAGGACACCCTCTGCCAGGAGACAGCTGTGAAGCAGTGTGCAGCCTCGGCTACCATTTCCTGACAAAGCCCTCGAGTTGCTGGCCGAGGGCAGTTTCTAGCTTCCGGCACTGTGGACTATCCCATCTGCTGTCTGAAGGCACCGAGCAACCCGTGCTTTTGACAACAACCACCAGAAACTCACACAAGTAGCCAAGGCTTTGGAAGCGTTTCTCTACAGATGACACACAGAGGGTCAACACGTGCTCGGGAAAACAGCCACTAGAAAGACGTGAATGGGAGTAGCCAGACTCCTTTTCACACCAGTACCATCAGAACGACCATGAGAACAACAATGACCGTCAGAACAGCGACCCTCAGAACAGCAACCGTCAGAACGACCATTAGAACGACAGGACAATGCACTGAAATCGGCTCGGTGACGGTGAGGAGTAACGAAGGAGCCTCCGACACTGCAGTCAGCTATGGAGACAGTTTGGCAGGAGAGATGGCTTAGCTTGGAAGAGCGCTTTCTGTGCAAGCAAGCATGAGGACCCGAGCCCGAGCCCCGGCACCCGGGTAAAACGCCAGGAGTGGCCTCCACTGCCTTTCACTCTAGTGCTGTGGGAGTCGGAGACAGGAGGATGACTGTCGCTTGCTGGCCTCCAGCCTAGCTTCATGTTCAGTGAGAGAGACAGTCTCCAGAGAACAAGGTAGAGGGCGATAAGCAGATGTTCTGTGACCTCTTCCTATGGGGTTTCCTCGTGGGCATGCGCACACCCAACACACACACAAACACACACACACACACACAGAGTTAAACATGGAACAAAGGTATAGCCCATAAATTCCACTACTTATGTACATCCCCCCAAACCGAAGTACATTAATAGCCGCAGCAACACCATTCACAATAGCTGAAGTGGGAACAGCCACAACGCCCAGCAAAAGGACGAGTGGACAGCTAACTGTGGTATGCCCGTGCAATAGAATACTAGGCAGCTGTTAAGAAGGAAATGCTAATGTATGCTACAGTAAGGTGAACCCCGAAACTGTACCACGTGAAACAATAAAGAGCCAGATGACATATGGTTCGCAAGTATTATCATGGGCTTATTATTCCATATTCCCAGAACAAAAAAAAAAAAGTATATTGGTAGTTCCCAGGGCCAGGAGACCAGGGATGGGAAGTAACTAAATTATAGATATTTCCTTTGGTGGGGCTTGATAAAAATGTTTTGGAATTCGAGTGGTGATGGTTGCATGGGATTACAAATACATTAAAAACTGAAAAGCAAGCTAGGGGAGAAATTTGAGGCTACAGCCTGGTGACTGACTGTGTGAGAAGCTGTCGTAGGCAAAGGGCCCAAACTCCACCCCCAGGGAGAAACCTACAGGGATGACCCTGGCCACAAACACGGGAACTGAGGTGGCTGGTCCCTTTGCAAACGGCATCTCCCCCTTCCCAACCTGGCCCTGGGCTACGGGAAGAGAAAGACACTGTGTGCTGTCACAGAATGACTTTTTTAGTGTCCTCATCACAGAATGACTTTTTTAGTGTCCTCATCACAGAATGACTTTTTAACGCTGGTGTTTGTTTGCTCGTTTTGGAGGACTGGGGATGGAACCCAAGGTGTCACGCACACACGCTAAGAAAGAGCTAAGCCACTGAACTACAATTCCACTCAGAGGGGACTTTTAAAAAGCCATCTAGAAATTGAGATAATGGGATAAAATGTCTTGACTTAAATAAGCGAGAAATTACTTTAAAACAGCAGTCCATTAAACCACCGTGAGTCAGAATCTGTCTGTGGGCTTCCGGGGTGCCATCTATTGCGCTGCTGTTATGAGGCCGCCACAGACTAAGTGAGTGCCCTGACAGGTCCACGGATGCCCACACAGGAGGGACACTCTTTCTGCCGGGCTGACCCCTTGGTCCCAGCTCTTAGGCTGGCTTCATTCTCCACCATAGCCCCCAGCCTGGCTCAGCCCTTCCTGGCGCCCAGTGTCACTCTGTCTTTCTTTGTGGCCCCCAACATAGCTTAAGCCCTTCCCTAGCCTCTCGCCTTCTGCAGGAAGGGCTCCTCAGCCCCATTTGCTCTTCTACGGGGGCGGGGACATCACCTGCCCCCACCTAACACTCCCAAGCAACTTCAAGCTAGAAAGCAGAACCAAGGGCCCGGCCTGTGATTTACGTGCATAAGGGTTTTTTTGGGGGGGGCATTGAAAAACTGCTTTTAAAATGTTTGTGTGCAAAATGAAACAAGCAAACCAACAAACCACCTTTTGGGTTTGAGTTACAATATAGAACATCAGTTTAAAATTCCCGCTGGGTGATGCTGGCCCACGCCTCGGGAGGCAGAGGCGGGGCGGGTCTAATGTGAGTTTCGGGCCAGCCTGATCTACAAAGCTACACACAGAAACCCTGTCCCAGAAAAAATTTTCCTTCCATTTCTTGATGTTTTGAAAGGAACTTTCAAAAAGCCAACTTCAATAATTGCCACCTTCCGCAAGAGAAACAAGGGGTCCCTCAGGGTCTTGTGCTAGGGGCCGGCCTAACCTCGGACCCCCCTCGGAGGTTTGGTGGTCTCAGCTCCCGGCGCACTGGTCTGCTCTGAGGCTGCCTGGCCTTGCTGGTCTTGCAGGCTCAGGTGGGAAATGGTCAGGACAGCCTCATCCTTCCCTTCATCGTTCCGTGTCACCTCCACAAAAAGCAGCCGCTCTCCTCCTTTCGCATCTGGCTCTGCCTCCGGCAACAATCGGTCCTTCTCATCATCTTCAAACTGGTAAGGAAAAGAGAGCCGCCAGAGGCGACACGGTTAGCGACCGTCTGACAGAATGACACAAAAGGGAGAGCAGACACGCAAAGACGGCTCGTGGCCACCGAATGCTTGCGATGTAAGCCGTCGTTAATTTAGCATCTGGCGTTCTGTGGCGACTCCATCTTTGTTGGTGGTGGTGGTGTTTCTCTTTTGGGTTTTTACAGGGTGTGTAGCCAAGCCACCCTCAGATCCCTGTGTACCCCAGGACGGCCCTGAGCCCCTTCTCCTCCCGCCTCCACGTCATGAATGCCCGCTGTGCACCACCAAGCCAGGTTTATGAGGTGCTGGGGACGAAAACCAGGCTTCATGCGTGCAGGCGAACACCGTACCAACTGGGTACGGCCATAAGACTTCGTTTTTTTCCAAACACAATGCACTTTACATTAATAATAGCATTGTTTCCTGTAACTATTAAACACTTTGCATATTATATATTATATATACTATATGTGTGTGTTAATATGTAGTAAGGTTCACATATATAAATATGCATATGGTAATATCTCTCATTACCTTTAATGTTTCATTTTCCAACGTCAAAATATCTTGTCCACACATAACATCGCACAAAGGCCTCGATCTAGGAACGATCAGTTTTACTTTCCTCTTTCCCACAAGGCATCGGGGTGTAAGAGTGGGCCGTACCTTCGTCAGGGCTGCGTTTTCGCCCAGGCTTGGGGTTAGCTCCTGGTCCTGCTCGGCCGCTGGCACACTCTGCTGCAGCAGGTGAAAATGCATCAGCTCCAGCGGCTCCGGTTGGTACAGCTCTTCCGGGATGCTGATGGTCACACAGTGCTGGGAGTCGGGCTGGGGCTCTGGTTGCAACCACAGCACGGATGGCAAAGGCAGGAAGCACTCCTCCTGCGGTATCATCACTGGGAACTCCCCGGAGCGGGGCACGCTCAGCCATCCCAGCCCCTGCAGGTGCACATCCTGGGGGGTCAGGTGCACGGTCTGCAGGGTCAGGACCCGCCTGTCGCTCTCGGCTGGGACCCACAAAGACAGCTCAGGCTGGTCATTCTGGAGCCCCGCGGCATCCAGAAGCTGGCAGGGCGCGGCCTCCGCCTCGACAGCACCCTCCTGGGCTTCCATTCTCTGTACCCCGCCCTCCTCCTTTTCCTCGTCCAGGTCTCCAGGCTTCAAGTTCTGCTCTTTGATTTGGGTGAAATGCTCAGAAGGGACAGGGACCTCGGCGGCGGCCATCGTGACGCCCCCTGATGGAAAAGAGAGCGTGCAATCTTTGCGGGGTGCAGAGGGGCCGAGGCCTAGCGGGCACAGGCTCTCATCAAGCGGCAAAAGACAGAGCCAGCATTCTAGGCCAGCCTGGGCTCTGTAGTGAGGCCCAGGTCTCCACGTCCCTCCGCCCCCGCAAAAATCTCCAGCGGGACGTGCTGCAGCAGGCGACAGGCCCACATCCTAAATCCCAGGCTGGGTGCACCACGAAGGCGAAGGACGGCGGCCTGAGCCAGCACGGCCAGGAGCTGAGCAAAACCGGGCTCAGCGCACAGGTCTCCACGGGCTCGCCCCACCCCACCCCAATCCGGTGCGGCACTCGAGGTCTGCAGGGCAGAGCAACCTCTCTTTGCACCTCGCTGCTCCTAGCAGCCATGCGCACATGGCCCATCAGGCTCCATGTCTGCTTTCCATGCTCGGGCCCCACCCATCCTGCTCCTCCCCGTCTCACTCCACCCTATCCCACCCATGCCCACGCCCCCTGATGCACCCTGGAGCCTCACCACGGAGGCGGGACCTGGGGAGTCTACCGCGTCGTGGTTGCCACCTTGTCACCTCGTGCTAAGCGAATCCTCGTGCTGCCGCCACCTCCCTAGAGAGGGCCGTGTGCAGCGCTGGCGGGAAAGGGGTGGAGCCAAGGAGAGGGAGAGCATGGAGATGGGGAAGCGGAGTAAGGGAGCACAGGACCCCAAGGGGGCGCTGGAGTCCCGGGGGGTGGATAGACAGAGAGGGAGGGAGGGATTCCTGCGGGGGGCGCTGGAGTCCTGGAGGGATGATGGGCAGAGAGGGAGGGATGGAGTCCTGGAGGGGGTGGCGCTGAGGCCTAGGGTGTGAGGATGGATGGGAGGAGGGGTTCTGAAGTGGGTGCTGGAGGCGTGGCAGGCAGACCGCCATGGACAGGGAGGTTGAAGAGGGGTGGGGGGCCACTGAAGCAGGTAAGGATGGAGTGGAGGGGACCCTGTCTGGAGACTGGGAGGGCTGACAGGGTCTGAGTGCTGAAGAGGAAGGTCTTGCAAGAGGCAGAAGCCAGAAGCCTCTCTCTCTCTCTCTCTCTCTCTCTCTCTCTCTCTCTCTCTCTCTCTCTCTCTCTCTCTCTCTCTCTCTCTCTCTCTGTCTCTCTCTATCTCTCTGTCTCTGTCTCTCTGTCTCTCTGTCTCTATTTCTCTCTGTCTCTCTGTGACTCTCTGTCTATTTCTCTGTGTGTGTGTCTCTCTCTCTCTGTCTCTCTCTGTCTTTGCTCTCTCTGCCTCTCTGTCTCTCTGTCTGTCTCAGTCTGTGTGTGTGTGTGTGTGTGTGTGTGTGTAATGGGGTTGGGGGGAGGCTGGCTGGCACTGTAGAACAGAGGGCCCCAAACCTGGTGGGCACAGGGTGGTGAAGGTGCTGTGGGGGAGGGAGAGGGACCAGGGAGGCCAGAGGGAGTCGTGTGGAAGCATGAACACTCTGTTGAAATTATGGAGCATTGCAAAGTTGTACATGATATCCCACCCCCCAAAAACACCAAGCATGGACCTCAAAAGTGTTGTCTTCCAACTTGTGAATGTCTTCAGCCTACCCGAGGCTCCCGGGAGCCATCAGATGGGTGGGGCCCATCAGGGGGATGGAAGGCAGGAGGTGGATGCCAGAGGCCTGGACCTCTGGGGGACCAGGGGCCTCCTCCTCCACTGGATAACGTTCTCAACAGGAGCACCCTTTGGGGGCAGGTGGGCGGGAAGCGAGGGATGAATTGGAAGAGATGGGAAGTGGAGGGGCAATGGGGAACTAGAGGCCGCAGGGCGCTCTCTCCCTTTGGAGCCCCTCCCACTCTCGGGGCTCTGCTTGGCTTTTCCACAACGAGGAGTTTGTTAAAGGTATGGCTTGCAGCTCTCGGCATTTAACAAGTTTCAAAAAAAAGTGTAACATGATCTTGTTTACTAGCTGTGAATAAACACATTTGTATGTTGGGGTAAGTCTCAAAAGGAGAGAACACAGTTTGAGGAACAACAGGCTTCTGGAAATAAGTGACCTTGAGGGTTTTCTCGTGGTCTCGATTCGAACTCACCTCCTAATAACCGAGGCATGGATTTCCGTCCTACAGTAGCCGTGGGGTTTTTCAGTGTACACACACACACACACACACACACACACACACACACACACTCCTTCTCTGTCCTGGCCTCTTCTCCCCACACTGTCTCATAGCTATCTGTGTCTTGTTTGCTCATAGTATATACTCAGAGATGTTTTATTTCAATAGTGCAACAGATGGAACTCAAGTCAGTTTTAACAGAAACTCTCACACCATTCATGAGTTAGAGTCTGAGGTCACTGGCTTTCTCCTTATGTCTGAGATTTCTGTGTGGGTGCGTGTGTGTATGTATTTGTGTGTGTGCTCAGGTGCTGGGATTGAGCTGGGAAGACAAATATTTGGAGATCCCCACGAAAACAGCTTTATAATAACTTATATTTTAAAAAGATATTTATATATTTATTATGTATACCGTGTTCTGCCTCCATGCCAGAAGATGGCACCAGATCTCATTATAGATGGTTGTTCAAAATTTCAAAAACCAATTAAAGTCCCCCCCCCCTCCCGCACCTCTTTCTCTCTCTCTCATTTTATTTTATTTTTTGAGATGGTAGTCCAGGCTGGCAAGCCTGGAACTCACTATGTAGTCCAGGCTGAACTATTTTTTTTTTTTTTTTTGGTTTTACGAGACAGGGTTTCTCTGTTTTGGAGGCTGTCGGTCCAGCCCGGCCTCGAACTCACAGAGATCTGCCTGCCTCTGCCTCCCGAGTGCTGGGATTAAAGGCGTGCACCACCAACGCCCGGCCAGGCTGAACTATTTTTTCCTTTCATTCTTTCTATTTTTTAAAAATATCCTCAAGGTTCTAAATTATTATTTATTTTGAGACAGGGTCTCCTAGTGGTGAGAAGGACCTGCAGCCAAGCCACCCCAACCTCCCTCTCTGAGGTTCACTCAGGGTTTTCTCTGTCTGCTTGCTGTTTTTGAGACAGAGTCTCCTGTAGCCCAGGCTAGCCTAAGGTGCTAACCCTGCTTCAATCTCCCTGGTTCCAGAAAGCTCACATTTTTGAGGATCTGGGGGATTGGAACCCAGGTACCATTTCAGGCTAAGTAAGTGGTCCACAACTGAGTTACTCCAGAGTTGGCTTTGTTTTTCAATGGGTTCTTGCTATGTAGACTAGGTGATGGTGAATTCTTTATCTTCCTGTCTCAATTTCCTGGTACTAGGATTACAGGAGTTTACTGCCTGGCCTAGCTTGCCTTCCAATCTGCTAAGTGGCCCCAGCAGGCAGTAAAACGACCCAGCAGGTAAAGGTGCTTGCCACCAAGCCAAAGGCAGAAGTTAGATCCCTGGAACCTCCGCAGTGAACACAGAAAACATCTTTTGCTCCCCCTCCCCCCGCCTGTTTTTGTTTTATTAAGTGATGAATTTATTTTGTATCCTGACCACAGCCTCCCCTCCCTCCTGTCCTCCCACTTCCTCCCCCTACCTTTGCTCCCCCCTTCAATACACCCCTCTACTGCATTCACTCAAAAAGGGGCAGGCCTCCCATGGGCATCAGCAAAGCATGGCATATCAAGCTGCCCTAAGACCGAGCATCTCCCCTGTATTCAGGCTGGGCAAGGCCATCCAGCATGAGAAATAGGCTTCCAGGGGTCAGCTCAGAGCACTAGGGACAACCCTGCTCCTGTTGCCAGGAGTCCCACAATTCTGTTTTTTAAAAAGTATTTATTTTAGTGTGTGTGTGTGTGTGTTGTCTACATGTGTGTGTGTGTGCCTGAGGAGGTTGGAGGAGAACTACAGAGTCCCTGGAACTGGAGTTATGGTTATGAGCTGCCATGTGGGTACTGGAAACAGAACCTGGGTCCTCTGCACCAGCAATGCGTGTTCCTAGCCGCAGAGCCACGTCTCCAACCCTCCCCTCTTTTTGAGATAGTTTCCTGTAGCCCAGATTGGCCATGTACTTGACCGTGACCTTAAGTGCTCATCGCCCGCTCTCCACTTATTGGGTGCTGGAATTACCCGTCTGTGCCAGGATTCCCAGCTCAAGTGCAGATGATGATGATGACATATGAGTGGGACAGAGAGGGACATGGAAGGGGAAACTGAGGTAGACTTGGATGAGTAGAGAGGGAGTTTCATAAAAGGAGAAAGCTGGACTGAGGAGGAGCTGGAGAGAGGCCCCAAGAGAGGAGGTGGTGGCACGTCCTCCTGTTTTGATTTGCTGTAGTTCTGGAGATGATATTTAGAGGGAGGCACCTGTTGAAGCTGTGCTGGCTTCCTGCTGGAGGATCTGAGAACTTAAGATGCAGCTTAGCACAGAGTGAGGTGTGACCCCAGTTTATAATCATACCCCTCCATTCTCTGTCTCTGTCTCTGTCTCTGTATCTCTCTCCCTCCCTCCCTCCCTCCCTCCCTCCCTCCCTCCCTCCCTCCCTCCCTCTCTCTCTCTCTCTCTCTCTCTCTCTCTCTCTCTCTCTCTCTCTCTCTCTCTGTCTCTCTGTGTAGCTTTGGAGCCTGTCCTGGAACTCACTCTGTAGACCAGGCTGGCCTTGAACTCACAGAGATCCTCCTGCTGGGATTAAAGGTGTGTGCCACTACAGGCCAGCACCCCCATTCGCTCTTACTGCCTCCCTTAGACTCCACAGCATCTTTGTCTTAAACACTGGGTAATGTTTACTTGTTTCTTACTGCCAATATTATAAAAAATTTTAATGTCTCAACATTATATATTTAATTTGACACACTCATTTCAATATACATTGCAATTAAGATAGGAAGACATACACATGATATGCAAACACACAGCTGCACATGATATGCAAATAATATATACTTAAATGTGATAACTCAAGTGTGTATTTGCATGCGATATGCAAATGCACATTTGCACGTGATAGTCATGTGTTTGCATGTGTGCATGGTCCCCATTTATGCCCTGGGGTAGGTGGAAAGCTATAATGGGCAGGGATCTCTGTCACTTCCACTGGGCCGGCCCTGACAGCTGTTGGTGAAGCTTGGTGCTAGAGTCAGTCCTTTGGCCACCTTGTGAGCGTGCAAGAAGAGAAGGCATGATT